TGGCAAAGAGATGATAAATACGTATTTTTTACTTACTTTTAGTAAGAAAAAAAAAAGGAAAAGGCTTTAAGCGACTGTGTTACATGCATCTTTAATGACATTCCTCTAGAAACACCACTGTAAGAAGCTGAATTGAGAGCTATGTATTTAGAACTACACCCAAGCCTAAGCTGCATGAAGACAGGTAATTGCAGATTAATATTCCACTGTAATACTTACGCACAAGAGTGCTGAGTTAAAGTTGCCATGGGAAACAAGCCTGAATTTCTTCACTTTCCAGCAATTCATGATCAGCCTTAATAAAGGATTTGGCAGGTGATTTCTAATGCACCGAGCTGAACAGCTACACAAAACCCGTGCTGGCAGAGAGCTGCTACGCAGGGATATGTGGCTAGGACACGTAGACTGGCACATATCCCCTGTCTGCCCCTGGATGGGACGGTGACGATCTGCTACCTCGTGAGCCACCTCCTCTATTCCCTCCCAGGACCTCAGCTAGGATTGCCCCAGCAGCTTTCATGGAGCACTGCCTGAAGAGCACGCAGAAGACACCTCGCAGCCTGCTGGTCCCTCCCGTAGCCTCCTCCCACGTTTGTAATTGCAGGGACAGAGCCCTCCTAGATGTCCAACTTGCCCACTTCTACTACTTCCCCCAAGCACAGAGCTCAGCACACGTGTTGCTAAGCCCTAAAGGTGGTAGAAATCAACATCCATTCACATCACAAGCTCAGTCTGCAAATCACAGCGGCTCAGGAGCAGAGAGGCATCGTGCAGATGTCCCTACCATGGGACCAACACCACGGGTAGAGGAGTATGGAGATGGAGAGGCAGCGATTGCTGTGGCCACTCCAGCTGTGCCTGCCTGAGACTGAGAGCCAGGACAGGGAAAATGCATTTAATGCTCACTTACACCAGCTCTCGAGGAAACGCAGCCTGAAACCAATTTAAACTTGTCTTCATTTGCACTTAGTGTTACCTTAAGGAAAGGCCGGCTCTCATTTGTTAATGGGATTTTGCCAATCAGGAAAATGTGCCATGACCATACAGGTTTATCTGCACTATTACTATCCTACTCCAAATTATTATTACCCTTAAATCATTACTGTTATATTTAAAAATAAATCAGTAATTGAACATATGCTTATTTGCAGTCTCAATGTTTACAGTTTCATGTTGAAGTGTTGAGTAATGTTCTGTATTTGTTCAATTACAAAGTATGTCCAGCTTCATGTGACAGAAGCAATTAAGATGCACACAGTAACAGCCAAAATGCACGTTAAACAAACTTGAAACAAGTAGGACACACTGAACAAAACGATCGGAAGAATTTCATATTTAAAACACGCTGCTTAAGAGAGCAAGGAAGGTATCACCTGTAATTAATCTCTCTGCCTCTGGTGACAGCCTCCTTTAGCAACTGAGAAGACCTGAACGTTTCAAACCTTCCTTTCACAGGGAGTGGAAGAGGCAGCTTTCTAATTCCCAACTGATTATCAAATTTGAGCGAACCCAAGACACTGAAGTCAAGTACCTGAAGAATTGACACGAGAAACCGGTAACTTCATCGCTACCAAAAGCTCAGTGAGCAATCCTAGGTCCAGCTGCTGGGTTCTGCCAGCCCAGGGGTCTGATGCTCTTTTACACGTCCAGCCAGCAGGTGTACAAGCCTGAACAGCATTTGTTTTTCATGGAAGTGCTTTTAATGGATTACAGTAGAGACTGACACCCTACGTAGAGACAATTTCGTATTCAGCTTTGAACAGCTCTGATTTCTCTCATCAGACTTCTTTACGTTTAAGAAAATCATTGCTTTTTGCCCACTCTGCTGAAGTTGAAGGTGGGATGCACGGCTTGCTGGCCGAGTGGGGCACTGCCCCTCGCTGCAATAATAAAGCAGGGACACAGGCAGCTGCAGATCTGAGCTCCTGAATAGCCACTGAAAGCACCAGCCACCATAAACACGGTGTACACAAGGACGAAGGGACAGAAGAACGATTCCCACCTATTAATGCATCTTCTGAGCATCTGAACCACCACATGTACCTCCCTCTACATGCTGACAGAGCACAAAAGAGGCAGGCACTTGCAAACTCTCAGCAGCCAGCAAAGGGAAAAGAGCAAGCGACAAGCTAGAGCTGACAAATGAAGCACGCTACCACTGCCGTGGCCCCAGGACCACTGACCTGCACGCTGCGACGGCTCCTGCCTGACCCCACCGGGCTTCGGATCGAATTCCAAACACACAGGCAAGCTTTAAAGAGATGCGAGGGGGCAGCCATAGCCATCCCTTCCTGCCAAGCCCCTACTGACCTTTGGCTGCTTAAAGCACTACGTGTCACAGACCGTGCCTCCAGTCTTCAGGTTTTCCCACCTACACGTTTGGGGCAGTGCACTTAAACCCTCCGCTTCCTTTTGTGCCTGGGATGGCCCATCGCTCCTAAATACACCCACAAAACCTGCACGCCAAGCTGCCTCTTGGTGCGTTTAAATGCACGCTTTGATTTGGGGGCGTATCTCTGGCAAGCTGGGAGGAATTGGGGAGGTGACAGCAACCTGCGAGGACGCAGGGTGGCTGCAGCACACTCCTGGTGCTACTGCTCCTCTGCGGACATAGGGCAGGGACCAGGACAGAGCAGAAATGGTAATGCAAAGGGCAGCTGCCATACAGCATGCTAGGGCCACAACACAGATGGCTTCCTGGGGGAATGCTGCTGTCCTCGACCCTCCCTGATCCCCATTTTGGAGGCCGTGCCATGAGACCTTGGAGGGGACAGCACAGCTGTGAAAGGGGATGGAAAGGCAGGAGTCTTTAGGGGCTCCCCGAAGAGCCTTTCCATGAAGGACTTCCCCAGGGACAATGTCAGCGAGGCTGCCGGCTGCAGGAGAGCACAAGGAAACACTGCGGGAGGGGGAGCAGATGTGGCAGGCACACACCTTGGTGTAAATAAAGAGACAGCTCCTTCTGCTGAGAAGCTGGAACATTTTGAAGAGCAGTTAGTGAGAAATGTGAAGTGCACTGCACAGTGGCAAGTGCACTCTGCCAGACTTCGAGGCTGAGATGGCTAAATTTACAGCTATGACTACCCACTGAAAGTAACTTGGATCACGGCTCAGCTCTGCTGTGCAGCCTCCTCATCACATTCCAGTGCATTCGAATTTCATTGCATCACCTACTAGGCTTCCATTCTGCAAGCAACGTAACAAAGGCAGAAAAAGAACTGGGACCGCAGTTAAAACCAGCACCTGACCACATCTGGCTCCCAGGTCTGTCCTCAGACCACAGCTACAAAACCTGCCTGGCACTGCTCCACTGAAAGATCCCGCTAGGAAGACCTTGCACGAACCATTCCTGAACATCCACAGCAGTTTGCTCCCCACGACACAAAACCTCAACAGCAAACAGAGCTAAAGCCGCACTGGTCAGCAGACAGGGAAGGTGTAGGTAGGGGCACGAGCTGACAAATCTCTTTTCTGTAAAGTTGCCTGATTGCAGCCGGCAACTTCAGCCTTTTCAGAAAGCGGCACTGATTTCCATGCAGCAGGAGCCGTCCCCTGATTTGCCAAACTCATTTGTTTGCGAGGACGTGAGGGACTGACAGGCCTCACACCACACTGGATACGACACGGACGCTGCACACAGCAGACGGGAAAAACCACCAGCGAAGAACATCCCCACCTTAAAGGTGCAACAAAATATATAGCAGATCTGCGTTGGCCCAGGCCATTACTTTCCCCGGCAAGGACTTGGGGACAAAGCTCCTTAAAACAGTAGTAATCATATTCCACTCATGCTCCTTTTTACTGCCAGCTGTAAACCAGCTCCCCATGCATCATGGTTTTGCATCAAAATGCGCGCAGACCAAGCCCATATCCGAAGGGACAAGGGAGAGCCGATTTACAGCTTTGACAGGGCTGTGCACCCGAGGCTGAGCGGGCAGCAAATATCCTGACATCGCACTCGGAGAGCGCTTAAAGCTGCTGCCAGAGCTGGACGAGCAGCCACAACAGCCTCCCACAAAGACCCAGCAAAAGGGCAGCGAATTTGCGGTCCTTTTTTCAGGCACCACTGGAGACCAGTGGCACCGCTGGGGAAGAGAGGAGCCAGGTCTGGTCCCAGCCTGCAGCACGCCTCCGACAGGAGGAGCCCGAAGGAAACCACGGCCGCACTGGGAAATGAACACGCTGCACCGAGCCATCTCAGTAACGAGATACCCCGTTGATTACTGTCCAGCCCTCAGTACAGTTGAAGCAAAGCAAAGAGAATTTATTCTCAGAGCCAACGCGCCAGCAATAGCAGCAAGAGGCCAGTTGCTCAATGCACAGGAGGGCGTGAAGTCCAAGCTCCATTTCGAGACTCGGAAATTCTGCTGGTTTGTCACTAACCCAATATTATACTTTGTCTTTTCAGCATGTTTTTCCAATTGAAATGGAAACCCTAGCCCCATCCTGCTGACAACTGAGAATATATTTACTACGTTGCTCTGCACTATTACGGGAGGACTGCCTGCAGAAAAACATCTGAGCCTCAGGTGGATCTCTGCACGTCTCAGGAGGTAAAGCACTGAAAAACTGCCCTGAAGCTGACCAGTTCATATCTCATTACACTCCAGAGTTAACAACCACACAAAATAACTTCAGTAACAGCCTTTTTCCTTGCAGAATCAAGCAGGGTTGCTGGGAGTACTCTACCAATGCAGGTTCCCAGCCTGCAATTTTTAAACCCTCTCCAGTTCAGGCAGCTGACAGGCGTGCATGGCTTTAAGTAGCATTTCTGATATTGTATTGTCGCTTCCCTGATGGAAATCATGCTCCTCCTGTTTGTTCCTCACAGTGCTCCTGACAGAGTGGGTGATGGCTAGGAGCTTTGGAGGACCAACAAAAGGAAGAAGGTGGCAGAAACCAAGGGAAATGAGCAAGCGAGCACCGTGTCTTTGCCTTCCCCCTCTCACAAAGGGCAGCAGCAACTCACGAGGGGAAAATTAACAGGCTCAGCTATTTACCTGAGGATGAATCTGTGGTTTGTCACACGTGGCCTCAAAATCCAGCACTAAGAAGTAGTGATATCTCTGTGGAGGGAAGGACGACATTGCTGCCATGGAAGCTCCGAAGCCGTGGGACGCCAGTTTCCTGCTTACGATGGAGCCGTACCCTTTGAGAACACCAGGCGGGCGGAGGGAGCACACAGCTTGTCTTGTCCTTGGAAGTAAGTTTTGGGGAAACTTTGCTGCTCCAGTATGGAGGAGTGCTATCATTGAACATCCAGAGGCATCTGAAACTGAAGAGAGACTCGTGTTACTTAGGCACATCTCATCTCTGCCAGCATTGCTCCGCTACACTTTCCGTCGGGTTTTCTCCGTGCTTCCCAGTGGAAGTTCCAGCACTGCAAACCTGGAATAACAGCAACCTGCCCTCAGCACCACACCTGCCATCTGGACTGAGCTCACGGCATCCAGAATCACAGGTAACTGGAAATTAACAGCTCTAAATGAAGAACCACAAGCCACACAACACAGATTACACCTCCCCGTTGGACCTTATCCTCACAGAACACAACACAAACCACAACACGTGAAACGCCTGACCTAAACCTATCGAAATTTCAGAGCCCTTTCATCTGTTCATATACAACACAACTTCTGATACACGGCAGGAATTCAACACCAACACTACCACCCATTGGAACAGCCTGGCCCTGAAAACGCCTGATAAGCACACCACAACCTCCCCATCATGCCACAAACCCACATGTCTGGGGGCCAGAGGAGCCCTTCCAGGGGAAGTTCTCGCTTGCCCCAAGTACCAGGTTTCCCTGAGATGTGATTCCAGTGCTGCACTGGATTTCTCACTTCAGGGATTTCTCTGAGGAAGATCCTGGTACAACAAACCCAAGCTGTCCTTTCAGTAAAGCACAAGCCAGGCTTTATAGGTTATGATCTTCCTCCCCCCTCCCCAGAAATACCTCGCGCAGCCACCCCCTTCTGATGCTTGTGTTGAGTAAGGGCTATTTAATAAATTACCCCACCCACAAGAGACTGTCTGGATTTCCCCCCTACCCTTTTTCTTTTCAAATGCTGCAGGAAAAACCTGCTCCCAGGTTCACATTTATGGAGATGAGAGCAAGCCCTGCTTGCGGAGCTGGCACTCAACGGTGGCAAAACAGGTGAATTTGGGCAACCCCATCCTCCCAAGCAAGGATACAGCAGGGCGTAATTCCCCACAGACATCACATGTGGGGCTGGGGACAACGGGCACAGCCTGCTTTTGGCTCCGTGCACAGCCCCATCGCTGCCCAAGCCCAGCCACACACGCGCTTGCCTCTCCTCCCTGAAATGGGAGAGAGGAAGCAGAGGACTCGCAGCCCGCGCCCCAAGTCGCTATTTGCACAGAAGACAGCATTTGCTCTTCCCCATCCGTTAGTCCGGCAGGTAAATAAGGCACGTGCCAAAACACACACTTAATGAGGTAAATAACACGCCTCCGACAGCGGCTAAATCTGTATTTACCTGCGAGCCCGGCGGAACTCGGAAGGCCCAGATTAGGAGCTAATTGCGGCTGAGCAGGCTGCATGCTCCGAGCAAACACTCGGTGTGCACCCTGCCCTTCGGAGGGCTGCGGGGCAGGGAGCACCCGGGCACTCCACAGCTGGAAACCGGAGGAGCCAGGGGGGTTTCAGGTGGAGCCACTGCCCACGGTGTGAACTGTGGCTGCACCTCCTGGCTCTCCTGTTGCGGAGGAGCACTTGCTGCACCAACGCAGCGTGCCTGGTACCTGGAAAACTGCTGACACAAGTCACAAAACCACAATAACCGGAGCCACGCTGCAAGCACAACACCGCTTTTATCCTAAAGGGGCTCAGCTCTGCCTACTGCTTCTCCATCTACAGCTTTCACTGTTATTAACAAACACGTTACCACCTGACAGAAGTTACATTCGCTTCTAACCTGCCCCAAATAAGAGAGATTTGAGGTGTCCGTGCTTTCAGTCTTCAAGTTAGGAGTGGGTGTAGGGTGTCTCTGGGGGATTCGGGCTCATCGCCACGTGGCCCCAGTAGAGCCAGGCAGGTCCGTGCCATGCGGACCAACGTGGTGTGCGCCCAGTGCCATCAGCCATCCCATCATCAACGTGGGGAGCAGAGGGAGCCATGCCCTGAACGAAGGTGTGCCAGTGGGGGATTTCCTGCAATTCCCCTCTGCAGGCTGCATGCAGAGAGGAGCAGCCCCCCTGCAAGCCCCGCACTGCGAGCCAAATGAAGTTTTAACTGCGTGTTTACCCAGCCACTGCTCCAGGTGCCCTGGGAAGACCTTACATCATCTGCTCCGGCAGGGTCAGAGTGCCTCGGAGCACAAGATAGCTGGTGAGCAAACACACTTTATTAGAAGTCACGGAAAGCATTTATAACTGCTATGACAATGCAAGGCACTAGTAATTATCCTCCACTTTTTTTTTTTTTCCAAAGGGACAACAATGCAGGCAGCACGGCTTCAAAAACCAGAAGCCCTGCTCCATCCTGACAAACCCACATGTTGCACGAGCCCAAATCCACACCTAAGTGAGAAAACACACTGCCTATGCACACAGGGTCAGATCATAACCTCAGATAGTGCAGACTGCCACATCTGGCTTCCAACCCGCCTAGGTTAATATTTCATATCACAGAGCTCCAATTCCTCACAGATATATATAACAGGACCACGAGCAGAGGCTGGACTTGAGGAATTATTTTGACAGACTGTACACAGACCTAGGAAAACGTGACAGCATTTTACACCTGCAACACCCAGGAAGAGGGAAACAGCCACGTGTGCTGGGTTGCAGCTGGAAGATCAAGTCAGCACTAGGTGCTGTGTAAGTGCACCACACGTGACATCGCCAGCTATCATCAGCAACTGGCTCTTCAAATTAAAAAATATAAATAAGTGGCTGTGTCAAAGTCAGCAGGGCACCGCAAGGGCTCAACCTGCAGGGCAGCCCCAAAGCCAGGGCACAAATCCATCAATGGCAAGACTCATCAGCCTACGATCTTGAGCTCAACGAGATCTTTGCACTTAACATAAATGCTTATTTCTACAACCACACCTATTTAAAGTCACCTGGCAGCAAAAGATGGCATAACTTTGACTGCTTGCCTTTAACCCAAAAATATTCCTTCACCACTCCTGTTTGATTAGCTGAAGCAGGAGGGGGGAAAAGGAATGTTTCTTGGGTTGCCCCTCCAACCTTAAAGGATTTATTTCATGAGAGCCTCCATTTACATGCTAAATTACTTTATGTTATGGTAAAATGGCCTTACCACAGTATTTCTATAAAAAAAATAAAAACAACCTAAATAACAATGCAAACTAAAATAAAAAAATAAAAGAAAAAAAAATAAAAGCAAGCTTTGGGAGTAGCACAGCTCAGTTTATTCCCTAAGCAAAGGCTGAGCAGAGGCAACTACAACTCCTGGTCTCTGGCAGACAGCTAAACTCAAGGCTAGAGCAACCAAAACCAATCCAAAACGTAAATCAAGTTTGTCTCATTTTATTGAGTTTTATTCATAAATAAAGAGGATAAAAAGAGAGGGCAATAAAGATGCATTTTGTGGAATAAAATTGCATACATTTAGCAACTCCTGGAACAGGGCATGGCCAAAAGAAGGCAGGACTTCCAATTTGGGAGCTGTTCAAATGCGTACTTGGGAGGTCAAATGTGAGCCCATATTTCAGTTGTGTGTAGATATAACTGAAGAACAATAGAGAGATCTTAGTTGTTTTTAAAATTATTAACCTAAATCATTAACCTAAAGCAAAATATTTCATTACAGAGACTACAGTCCAAGAGATGACAGCACCTGGCTAGCCTGGGAGACGGGAAACAAGAGACTTAAGGACAAACCCAGCTGATCCGAACTGGCACTCTCCAAACTTACAAAAAATAATACATAAAGTAAAACGAACAGAACACAAAGCTTTGATAACTGCTTTAATGATGTGACAGGATTTTAGACAGGTAAATTTGCTTCTTGAAGTTGTTAACCTCACCGCATCACCTCCTGAGCGTTAATCCAGAACTCCACTTCTGGCTGGGTTTGGCTGCGGCACCACCAGACAACCAAGACCAAATTTTGGAAAATTCGTAACGTAACCTCCCCTGAGCACTGCCACGGGATGCCTACATGCTGTCCCCTCATTCCTCATCACAGATACACCTCAGCCTCAATCATTTGGTTCTTACAGCGCTCCAGAATCGCTCGCAGCTTCTTCCCACTACAGATGAAGAGGCCCCTGTTCGCAGGAGCTTACAGGCTGAAGTTAGACCCAGTGCGGTACGGGAGGGTAACAGCAGAGAAGGGGTTCCAGGGGCAACTTTTTTTTTTAAAAAAAAAAAAAAAAAAGAAAAAAAGAAGCAAGAAATAAAAATAAAAGCAAGCTTTGGGAGTAGCACAGCTCAGTTTATTCCCTGATGCAACGCCTGAGCAGAGGCAACTACAACTCCTGGTCTCTGGCAGACAGCTAAACTCAAGGCTAGAAAAACCAAAACAATCCAAAATGTACATCAGGTTTGTCTCATTTTATTGAGTTTGATTCATAAATATAGAGGATAAAAAGAGAGGGGGCATTACAGGAGAGATGAGCGAACGCAGGAAGGATGCAGGGCACTGCTGGGTTCAGTTCTCACCCGTTCCTCGAGCTCATCCTTCCCGCTGCGTTCCTCGGCTGCTATCTCAGAGGCACGGGCTCCGAGCACCAGCATCTCCTCCATTGTGACGCCACAGACGCGAAGGCTTGTGAGATCACAATGAGCGAGGTGGTTTTTGGGGCTACCGCTCCCTACGAGGCTGGGAAACAAACACAGCTCAGTTGACGTGCCGCACAGCGCCGCCCGCGCCCACCACCCAGGAGCGCTCCCGAAGACGAGACGAGCAATTCCGCTCCCGTTTTATTAGGCCACCTCTGCGAGGCAACCCACTTTTGTCACCTCCTTGGCTGGTCTCTTAAGAGAGGCTTTGCTGGGTATTTTTAAACCTCCTCCATGAGGAAGCGCGGATCAGCACACGGACCTAAGCTGAAGCTGGAAGAAGCTCCACGCAGTGAAGGACTGGTCACTTAGAGAAAAGGCAGGAGGGAAATGACAAAAAGTAAAACAAAGAAATAGGAGGCAGCATATACAACATCAGGTCGGAAAGCTGCAGAGGAAGAGCGGGCTGAGTACTGCAGCAAAGTTACTGAGTCCAGACAGGAACCCTCTGGTCCAGTCTCCCGCCTCTGCATGGGAGCCATAAAAAAGGCCCTGGGGTGAAGCTACACAAAATGGGGTTAACCACCCCAAGAGCTCTCGGGGGCCAGAAGCAGGCACCCATCCTTCCCTCTCAGCCTGATTCTCCTGCCAGTTATCTCACACCCAGTCCTGCGCTCGTCAGGCCTCACCATGAGCCAATTCAACCATAGGAACCCATACAAGGGCTAACACAGCCAGAGTAAAACACCATTAAAGCAAGATAGTTTCCTAGCTTGATAGTTCCCAGAGAAGGTATCCTGGCTCTAGCAGCACAAACACATGAAACCTGAAGTCAGCAAGCCCATCGGGCCATCCCGCCCGAACCTCATGTCATGCCAGCCGTAAAGTTTCCACTTCATCACTCCTGAATCGAGCCCAAAGGCTCGCACACCTTTCAGAAAAGTTTCTGGCCTCGAGCTGCAGCACCAAACACGGGGGCTCCCAACTACCTGCAGCCCGCTCGTTCCAGTGGTCAATCACTTCACTGTCAAAAAATAACACAGTTTTAATTCAAACCTCCCCAGCCCTGGTCTTTGGAAAGAGCTCTGAAACTTATGGCACTGTGATGCTCTCAACCCGCAGAGCTCCCTGCTCCAGAAGTAAGAGATTTGCAGCTACCACGCTTCCAGGCAGGGCAAGCTACTGCTGCACATCAGCCTAGTTCTGTGAGAGGAGAAACACCAGCCAGCCTCTTGTTTAATGGGATGCAGCACGCACAACCACTTGGTTTTCATGCACGAGTGCCACAGCTGCACACCTTTGTTATCTTGAACTTGAAGGTTAATGCCTAAGAGTGCCAAATGAATCTTAGTAAACTCCTCACGTTTGATCTTCACATATGAAATCTGGAAATATTAAAAAAAAAAAAGTTTGTACTCTGCCAAAGGTCTGTCCTGCTGGACAGGGAAATACACGCCGCAAGTAGGGGCAGCAGCTACAACAGGGCACGGGTTCCACACAACCCACCCTCAGCGACCCTGGGAAACCAGCACAGAAGACGTTACCTCTAATATCCAACCACTCAAGGAAAAAAAAAGTAAACTTCAACAAGTACAACTGAAATTATGAAAAAAAAGTTGGTTAGGAGCGAGGTATCACCTGTCCAACAGATCTGGAGGGAGCACAACCACTCAGCTGGCACCTGCCCAACACAGGTGACCTCTCCCAGGGGGGAGAAAAGTTGCCACGTGGTAGCTGGCAGCGACAGCTACCGCTGCTGCTCCAGCACACGCTGTGAGCAACAGGTTGGCCTCTTCCTTGTGAGGGAGGCACAGCCGCTTTGCAGCCTCCCGTGTTCTCCTGGGGAGATGACACCACCAGCCAGCCCCACCCCTGCACAGCGCCAGCCCTGCGCCCTACAGCCCTGCTGCCCTGTACCCGGAGGCGGCTGCTGGGCCCACACAGCAGCAGAGCCAAGCGTAAAAACTTCACGTACTTCAGCCTCTTCCAGAGCTTTATTTCCAAAATTAAAAGGAGGAAAATAATAATAGTAAAAAAAAATAAAAATATCAAATTGAAGTACCTCCCAACTGCAAAGCAGAACCTTAAGGTCACATCAAACCATTTCGGCGTACACTCAATCCAAGAGTTTCTTTATTTAGCACCAAGCACATTAGCGTGTTTGCTTTTTAATGCTTTAACGGGTTCCTTCTTCTTCTGGGTTTTGGTAACACTCAAATCTGTCTGGCTATAACACTTTTTTTTTTTTTATAGAAACAAAACTACACCATTCACGTAAAGCCACACAAAGTTTGATAGAAACAAGAACTGTAAGAGGGACACTCTTTGAAACGAGACAAGCGTTTAGTCCACGCAATAAATTAACATCAAAGTTCAGCTGCAAAGACCAAAATTCAGTACTTGAAAGGGAACAAAAATATCAAAAATATCTGAAATCCAACTTCCCGAGCCCACACACTGAAGAGTAACCAACTGGACCTCTAGCACGTTATTTATTTTAAGAACAATTCATTCTTGGAATAAAAAAGTCCACCAACTTTACCATAAAGCGAAGTGATGTACAACTGAATGCCAAAATTAATCCCAGCTACCTTTAGAAAAACAAAGCTCTCCGACAACTCTGTTAACACCTGATGGGACGAGCCTCACAGAGCTGCACCTGCTCAGAGCCCCGCACACCTCACCCATCCCGAGGCTTGGTGCAAGCTTCAACCGAATGGAAAACTCCCCGGTCCCTTCCATGGACAGGGCTTTACGAGCTCCGAGCAAGCAGCAGCCACCCACCCACCCACCGCCGAAGCCCAGAGCTCAGTGAGGAGGAGGATGAAGCAGAGAGGAGGCACACCAAGAGTTCGGCTTACAACAAGCACGCAGACCCACCGGACACAGACTTTAAGAGACAGAGCACAAGGGGCGAGCACCAACACCCCCCCACACACATCCCAGCCGAGAAAAATCAACAAACAAACAAAAAAAACACAAAAAGGGGGTGAAAATAACAAGAAGGGGGGGGGAAGGCCCCCAACCTCCTCCTCCCCCACACCCCCAGTGGCCCTCCCCGCGCTGCCGCCCCCCTCCCTCTCTCCCTCCCCCCCCCCATCCCCTCCCATTACCGGGGTGCAGCTCCCGCCCCCCCCCGGTACCGGGTCCCCCCCAGCCCCCAGCCCCTCTCCCCGCGGGCCCAGCCCCGTTGCGGCCCGTGCGGCCCCGCGCAGCCCCGAGCCGCGGCCGGGCCCCGAGCGGCCCAGGCCCCGCCACGCCCCCCCCGCGGCCTCCCCCCCTCAGCAAGGCCTCACCGGGCCCCGGGGCCTTGCCCCCTCCCCCCCTCCTCCTCCCCAACCGACCCGCTCCGGGCCTCCCCCTTCCCCGGGCCGGCCCCACGCCTCCCCCCGGCCCCTCCCGGCCCTGCCCGGCCCGGCCTCGCCGCCTCCCGAGGCCCGGCGGCGCCGCTCCCCCCCCCCCCGGTTCCCCGGGGCCCCCCCCGGGCCGCGGCCGCTCCGCACCACGAGTCCCCGGCACCGCCGCTCACCTCCGCGCACTCTGACCTCTGACCCCGCTCTGAGCGGCAGCGCCGCCAGCCAATCGCAGCGCCGCCTGCCGCCGCCGGGGCGGGGCTTCCTCGCCGCGGCTGGCCTCCCGGCGTCAGAGCCCGGCCGGAAGCGAGGCGCGGGGCATGCTGGGGGTTGTAGTTCTGATGGGTGTGTGTGGGGGGCAGCGCCTCCATGGTGCTGTGCCCGCCTCCTGGTGGCCCCTGGGGCGAGGCTGTGTGGGGTCAGGAGCCCCTCGGCCCCACTGGTGTCCCCAAGTGTCCCCCTCATCACCACTGATGTCCCTCACAGACCACCCCTCGTGTCCCCAAGCACCACACTCTGATGTCCCCAAGCACCACACTCATGTCCCCCACAGCGCCCACCCCTCCATCTCCCCACACATCTCCCCATCTTGTCTCCACAACCCACCCGCTGCGTCCCCGCAGCCCACACCGTCACATCCCCCAATGCCACGTCCCATGTCACTTGAGGCCAGCCCTCCATGTGCCACACAGAGCGTGCAAAATAAATACCAAATGCTATGAAGATGTCTCCATCAGTCACTGGCTTCCAGGCTCCTCTGCATTCGTGCAGCTCTCTGATCCTAAAACCTGTGTCTGGACCTTGCCCGGTCTTTGCTGGACATCCCTAAGCTAGCATCACCTCCCCACTCCACGGATGGCACCTTCAGCTAGGATACATGCAGCATACCTGCAAAGATGCCTGTCTATAACCCCTGAACAGCACAGCTGCTATGCCAACCATACCTTGAGAATGCCATTGCTTGCATTTTGCCTTCTTCCTCGCTCCCCTCGTTGACTCACACCTCTGCACCTAAGGCATTTCAAGCAAGCAGCTCCTCTGCACTGTCCCTGGTGCTCCTCGCACGTGTGAAGAGTAAACTCCGAGTCACTGACTCGTGGCAAATAGGACTGCGAGGGATCTTAGAGGTCACCTCATCCATCCTCCGTCCGCAGACAGCAGCAGCCCTACCTCTCTGTCATCTTGCTGCCCCCTTTCAAATCATCCCTGAAGCCTTCCTCTGGCTCTGTGCCTAAAAATATTTGACAAAGGTAAGCGCCGGGGTGCAGAGAGCACTGGCTGCCACTCTGTGAAGTGCAGTCTGCTAGCACAGTCCTGGCTGCCTGGCCATATCTGCCTGCTGCCCATCTTACATCAGCTTGCTGGCTCTTCAGGCTGAATTCATCCTTTTTGTTCTGTTTGTATGCAGCCTTGAACTTTGGAGGCCTGAATCATGAAAGTAGCATGTCAGAACTGTAATATAACAACTGCAAGCCATTTAATAATAGAAAGAGTTCCTTTAAGTCCTTTTGGATTTCGCATCTCTCAGCCTCCCACCCACACAAGCAAGTTTTACTTCTAAGCTCAGCCATACTGATGTGATTTGTCAAGACTTTGGTGACTGATGTATGGCTTGCCAAGGAGCACGGGAGAGTGAATATAGGGCTCTTCCGGCGTGGCGTTCCGTGAGCAATCTGTAAGTGCCCTCTGCCAGCCCCTCCTCATCAGGGATAGCAGAGACGTGCTGGAAATGACACAGCAGCCCCAAAGCTTAAAATTTAGGACTCGCAACCTGCCTGTGAGTGTTTCTAGTAGGATGAGAGAGGAAGCCTTTTCACTGCTGACCTCTGGATGTAGCAGTAAAAAATAATCTTTTTCTCCGTCTAGACAAACAATCAATGGCTCAAAGATGCGTGCATGTCTCTTTTTCATCAGCCAAGCCTGGTGCTGTTTCCCAGGCTTGTAGGCACCGCAGCAAGCAGGAGATTTCCTCCTGACCCTTTTTGTGGCAGGGAACTCCTTTCCCAAGCTGAGCATATGCAATAATGCAATAATGGAGGGCCACATCCTGGCCCATGCTAGCCTCAGTGTCCCCTATGAGGTCTATGAAGTCTATATGAGTTTTCTTCCAAAGGCTGTGGGACAGCAATGCAATTGCTGTCAGCAACTGTACTACCAAAGAGATACTTTTTTTTTCTTTTTTTTTTCTTTCTTTCTTTTTTTTTTTTTTTTTTTTTCTTTTTAACAGAGCTCTCAGATGCTGGGGAAGGATCCTCAACCAGCTAGAGGAGAACCACATCTTATAAATATCACCGCTGTTTCTACAGTGTTAGTATCTAAGGCTGTCTTATGTGAGTGTAGATGCCTCAAAAGAACGCTGTGGGCCACTGAAAATGTCACCTCAGATTAATCCAGCTCACTCCAGGGTTCTGGAGAATGAAAGAAGGTGATCAATAGATATCCTGTGGCTGGCCCAACGCCGGCCCTCCCAGCTGATATGCATGGCTTCTGCAGCACATTCACTGGGAACTGCTCCCCTCCCCAAGTGACACCATCTGTGGCAGAGCTATGAAATGCAGAGGTGAACAACTGCTATGGGGCCCTGGGCCAGCAGTATAGAGAAACTGGGATGTGCAGATGGGGAAATATGGGCAAAAGGGCTGACAGTTGCTGATCAGGGTTACCTTATTTAGTTTGTGTGGCATGACCATGCCAATCCCATGGCTGCACAGCCTCAGGACCAACAAAACAAGCCCTCTGTCAGCCCAAGAGCAAGCAAGAGTGTTTCAGCAGCAGGTCTGGTGTCTTAATTGCTTGTCCTACTTTAGAGATCTGGGGATGGCTATAAGCAGTGCAGAGGAAAGACCGTCCAGACTGGAGCAGTGTTGGGCGCTGTCCTGATTAAATCTTCAAACATCATCTGGAAAGGTCAGCCTGAAGCTTCCAGCAGTGCCCCCCTCTCACAGCTGGATCTCTGGTGCTGCCGCCAGCAGACACAGCAGCCTGGACCACAGCTATAACTTTAATTTGTTTTAAAAAACTCATAGTTCCTTAACACAGCATCGTTTCACTCTGCACAAATGTGCGTCCACCTTGGGGCTGATGGATGGGCAGGGCTTTAAGGGGAGGCAGCAAAGTGGTGGGGCAGGGCAAGGCAGGAAAACAAATAAATCCCACTGACTGCACATCGCAGCTCTAGGGAATTATTGTGTTAATGAAGGGCTGAGCACACCTTAGCCCAAGATGGGAATCACGCCATAGTTCAGCACAAACAAGGAGGGAGGCTGTCACTGACTGCCTCCCCAGCCCTGCCCACAGTGCCTTCTGGCTGAGGAGTTATGGAGCACAGCGCCTTTTAACAGCAGCAGGATTTTACAAGATTATGGCACAAAAAGCATCACCTCATTTTAAAGGCAACTCCTTTAGTTCTGTTCAGCTGCTTATGCTGAATGCAACTTTTAAATGTCTTATAATACACATGACAAGTAGTCTTGTATCACTGTTTTCTACTTAACAAGTTAATAATGTGCCAACTCAAATCCTTCAGTTACTAACGCCACCGGTGGGACTCATTAAGCAACGTGAACACATATTTAAGGGAATACTAATATTCACAATGTACATTTTTATATTCATGTTGTCATTCTTGAAACCACAGCTCAGTTCATGTGTTCTGCTGAAACATTTGTTTGCAGAGGATTTCTCTCTCCTCTTTTCTCCAAACACATATACTATCACTGGGGTATCATTCTCATGAATGATATTAATGACAGCTTGTCATCATGGAAAGCTATTCCTAGCTGTCAATTAAAGGGTGTTTTGAAAGGAAGCAGCTCGTTCAGCCCCGTGGGAGCAAGTGTGTCTCATTGTTTGACAGTGACCCCCTGATGGATTTGGGAGCGGCAGCAACAGCAGCTTGGTGGGGCCAAGAGGTTCGCAGATGCAGCACTCGGCTCGTGGGTGATAAAGACCAGAGATTTTAAAGGTGCTGAGGTCCTTAATCTAGGAAAGGCAAAAGGGGATTTCAGATCATAAAAGCCCTCCACATGTAAGAGTGTCAGCCAGCCAAGGAGTCCCAGGGATACTGAGCACACTGCTCCATCACATAATATAATTTCCCATTCAGCATCCTAGTCAATTTATCAACCTCCATCTTCAAATATGTTCTTTTACTTGTCCATGCTAGCCCGTCTGGAAGGCTCCTTCAGGTCTTCTCTGCCTGACAGATGGGAAACTTCCTCTAATTCCCAGATAACATGTATTCACAGATAGTTTACACTCAATTGCTCTGGCAGGATGGTCCTTGGCTTTAACTTGTTTTTGTTTTTAACTCCCCTGGTGTATTTCTAGGCAGCTCTCAGATTCCAGTCATCTTTGTCATCTTTGTTTTGCTGGGCTAACAAAACCCCGTTATTCTCTCCTTGCCACTTTGACTTTCCGTGTCCCACACCACCTTAGCAGACCTCCTCTGCACCTGCTCCAGTTTCAATTAAATTTTCTTGAGCACGAGTGCCCAGACTGGTATGTGGTATTCCCGAGCCGGGCTCCAAGGCCTCGCACCATATTTGTCACTTGACCCTATAAATATCACTCATATAAACAAGCTTGATTTCTATATTTCCCCCCTCAACAGGGTG